CCCCCAAAACCCCAAAACCCCAAAACCCCGATTTTATATGCTAAAATAGAATTTATTGGATTTGCAAATGAGCTCAAAGCGCAAGACCAGGTCGATGAATAAGAGTCCTGAAGTAGGAAGTTCTAGCCTATTAGTTACTAGGCAGTAGTTTGCTCTAACTCAGACATCTTCTAATTCTCAATGCTTATATTCCAGCCTCTGAATTTTCTTTAGGAACCTGTTGAAATAAATTTGATCAGTGATGAAGAAGAGAAGGAGATTAATCCAGCAAAGAAGCCTAAACCTGTATCTAAAAAGGTACGTTTTTGACCTCTTTTCAATGACTAAAGGTTATATAGAAGGCCAAAAGATCTCCAGAAAAGAAGAGAGCTCCTCTCCAAGAAGGTAAAGATTTGGATTCTGATTTGTTAAATAAATTAATCGATGAGGAAGAGGGAAAAGACAAAGAAGAGATCAAGAAAGCAAAACCATCAGGTAAAAGACAGAAAAAGAATCCTCCTAAACCAATAGAGGAAGATCCAATACCAATCGAATCTTCAGCTGAAAGTGGAAATGAAGAGGAAATTAGAAATATGCTCGAGGAAGAAATTAAAGAGAGCCAAATTCAGCAAAATAGTTTCCAATATTTCCAAGTAGAAGAATGGACAAGAGGTTTCGAATGGGATGACGAAATAGATAGAGTTAATAAGGAGGTATTTAGAAATAAATCCTTTATTAACAGGCAAAGAGAGATTATAAACGCGACAAAAGCTAAAAGAGATACCATTGCTCTAATTCCCACAGGGCATGGTAAAAGTTTGACATTTCAACTCCCAGCATATACTGATAAAGGAATCTCTATTGTAGTCATGCCTCTTCTGAGTTTGATTGAAGATCAAGTTCAGAAATTAAAAGAAATAGGAGTGAAATCAGTATTTATCCATCCAACTCAGGAAGATATAAAGGAAATCCTTGCACAGCTCAAAAAGAGTTTATTTTCAGCAAAGATTTTCTTTGTCACACCTGAGCAATTAATGCAAAACGAGTACTTAAAGAGGATCCTCTCTGAACTTTACGATAAGAAACTCATTGAGAGATTTGTGCTAGATGAAGTGCATTGCCTCCCTACATGGGGTAAAGACTTTAGAAATGACTACATGAGGCTTCAATCAATTAGGACTCTATTCCCAGAAACGCCTATCCTTGGCCTCACTGCAACGGCAACTCCGAAGGTAGTGAACGAGATTAAGGAGAGACTTCAAATGAGGAAGCCTCTAGTCTTTTCCATATCGTTCAATAGGAAGAATTTGTTCTTCAATTGTATCCCAACAAAGAAGAAGGATCGTGCTGCTGAGGTCTCTTCTCTTCTAAAGAAGGATTATAAGTACTGAAGCGGAATCATTTACTGCTCTACTATTAAAGAATGAGAAGAGCTTTGCAAAAAGTTCAAATATAACGAAGGAATCAACTGTGCTTCATATCATGGCAAGATGGATATAGAGAAGAGAAATGAAATCCAGCTCAAGTGGAGAAACGATGAAATTTTAGTCATGATCGCAACCATTGCTTTCGGCATGGGAGTGGACAAAAAGGATGTCAGGTTTGTCATCCATATGTCACTTCCAAGATCTCTAGATGGGTACATCCAAGAAGGAGGGAGAGCTGGAAGAGACCATCAGCTATCCCATGTTGTTCTCTTCTTTGAATATAACGACAGGAGTACTATCAATTGGTTCATTAAGAACAACGATTTTGCTGATATGGAAAGAGAGCAAGAAAATTTGACAAATCTTTACAACATTCTTGACTATGCAGAAGATCCTTACGAATGAAGAAGAGTCAAACAGCTACAATATTTGGATGAAGTGTTTGATCGTGAAAAATGCAACCAAATGTGTAACAACTGAAGAGATTACCAAGATATTTATTACCAAGACTTTTCTACTGAAGCTCAAATGATATGAGAGCTTTTTGAAGAATTATGTAATGAAGAAGGGAAGCAGATCACAGTAAATGGGCTTTTGAAATTACTCACTCCAAAACCTCCAACCAATGATGACAATGACTCTACATGTAAACATTTTAGTGCTAATTTTAGGTGCAAAATTGAATGCTAGTTTAGCTCCATTTTCTAAAACAACAATCAGAAGAGTGATAATTAAGATGCTTTCGCTACAAATTTTGAAAGAGAATCTCCAAACATTCCAAAAGTAAGGGATTTATATCTTATTCAATAACAATTTTTAGCAATCCTACTGTGACAGCATATCTGAAATCAGGAACAAATTTCTATTCTTGCTTAGAGGGTTTAAGCAAGATAGAAATAGCTACAGGAACCAGAAGAAAAGCTAAAGCAAAGCTACCAAATAGAAGTAAATTTTCCTTTAAAACTTATAGACATTAAAATTAAGATACCCAAAAGTCCAAAGAAGACTAAATTTTCAAAAGCTAGACCAGTATCTCCTTCCCAAGTACTCAATGATCCTATTGAGAATTCATCTGAAGGGTTTTCTCCAAAGGTGAATCCTGATGAGCTTCTTGGGAGCAACAAAGAGTCTGAGTCACTAGTAAAGCCTAGCAAACCAGAAACTCATGAATTTAGTAAGGAAATTATATTTAATAACTTAGAGAGCTCAGTACAGGAGATTCTTGAATCACTACAAGAAAGCACATTAAGAGTGCAGCCTAGTAAGAGAGCTCTACCAAGAGAAGAGAAGAAGGACCAAAACAAACTACAATCTCCTCTAGCTGAACTAATAGAGAAAGAATATGAGTACGCAGATATTACATCTTTCGAGGAGGGAGAACTACTTGAGAGATTATTGCTAGTAAAGAAGAATCTCCAGAATAATATTTCCCTGCTGAATGAAAACCCAGCTATATTTAAAGAGTTCAATACTGTTTTCTCACTCAAATTCTTCGCAAATATCATTGAACAGAAGCCTTTCTATCTCAAAATTTTGAGCAATTGTCTTGAGGAAGAAGCTCATCATACTAGTAATAGCTACAAGAACTACTCAGAAATATTCATGCATGAAATTTTCCATTTTTGTCACTTGAGAAATAGTATTAAACAATTGGGTCAGAAAGAAGACCCAGAGATACTTGCAGATGATGAGGAATCAGTGAAATCTTTAGTAGAGCTCAACCCAGTTAACCATGATCATAGTTATCTCAGCAAGAAAGATTTGAAGAAGACAGGAAGAAGAACAGTAGAGAAGAAAAAGACCCCAGAGACTAAACCTGCTGTCAGAAAGAGACCTAAGAAATCATTCATCTAAATCTTAGATTGATTTCAATCAAATTTGGTAGGGAAGGGGTTTTGGGGTTTTGGGGTTTTGGGGTTTTGGGG